TTATAAATTGAATAGGAGCCAACAATGAATGCAGTTGCAAAAAAGACTAATATTCTGGGTTGTATTAACAGAAGTCTCATATGTAAAGACATGGGAGGGAATTGTCTCACTCTACTCACCGATGAGGCCTCAGCTGGGGTATTGTCTCATTTTGGGCACCACACTTTAAGAAGGATGTGGACACACTCGAGAGAGTCCAGAGGAGAGCTACAAAAATGGCCTAAGGTTAGAAAAACCTAATTTATGAGGAAAGGTTACAAAAATGGGGTATGTTTAGTCTTGAGAAAAGAAAACTGCAGGGAGACCTGATAACAGTCTTCAAATATGGTAAGGGATGTTATAAAGAGGATGGTGATCAACTGTCCTCCAGGTCCACTTGTAGGGGAAAAACAACAAGTTCCATTTTGCTTAGGCACTTTGCCATTTTATTTGCAAGGAGTTGTTTGTCCATCATGTTGGTGACCTTCTTCTTGAGACAATTGACGCCTTTTTCTCTCTAAGGCGGGAAAGAGCAAGGGTCACATAGCCTATGTTCTGCCTAGTAACAGGAGAGCGTAAAAGACTGCTGCACCCAAGAGGAAAGGCTGTCCTTCCTGGTGGCAGCGCAGTACATGTCCCAGCCAAGACTTCAAGGGTTCTACTGAAGACCATAAGAAGAAGATCCAAAACTCCATAGTTCCAGCTATCAGTTCCTGATTGATTCCTATCTTACCTGTATCCAAAACTCCTGTGTCTTCACCTTGGTGTCCTGATGTATTCCATCTGTGATGACCTCTGTCATGGGTCCATTCCTCTGAACCTGGTGTAATATGCTGTGTACCTCTGTACCTTACCTGTACCAAATTCCCCTTTGTCCTTATGGGTTTGGGATCTTTACTTTATGCCAGTTTGTTGTGCCAACATGTACCCGTATGCTAGGGGTCCTATAAGTCACTGTTTCCTGTTTGAGTCACTGTTTAATAAACCAGTTTCCTTTATAGTTAATCCTGACCCTAATTTTCTCTCCGTTGATAGATGAGGTTTGGGGAACAAGTCTAATGGGTAGAGACTCTGAGGTGTGGAACCTAGAGCACATCCAGTTAATCATAGGAAAGATCTGAGTTCCTGGTTAACACACTGAAGGTAGGACAATAAGCAATCATATTAATCTGCAGCAAGGGAGATTTAGGTTAGATATTAGGAAAATCTTTCTGACTAGTTAAGGATAGTTAAGTACTGGAACAGATTACCAAGGGAGGTTGTGGAATCCTGGTCACTGGAGGCTTTTAAGAACAGGTTAGGCAAACACCTGGTCACTGGAGGCTTTTAAGAACAGGTTAGGCAAACACCTGTCAGGGATGGTTCAGGAATATTTAGTCATGCCTCAGCACACGGGGGATGGACTACATAACCTCTTGAGGTCCCTTCTAGCTTTACTTTTCTAAGACTCTGTAATAAACTGCATGGATACTACCTTAGGGATCTGAGTCTGTGGTTCCAAGGTGCCTATGTCTCAGATTTGAAATGCATAGACCATAAAGCCATGACCTTGATATGATATAAAATCGGAAATATTTTGGGCAAACTATTTCTTCTTGCTGATGCTCTCCACAGAACTAGTCAGAAAAGAAAGAATCTTGCTTGTCTCTATTAACACTCAGTCTGTAGGGGAATCTGATAAAGATATCACATTTAACATCATCCAAGGTAAACTTTATAAAGATATCAAATTTACATATATAGCAGAGTCTGGCTTCACATTTAATTGGCATACACTTTTATATATAGCTCATTTTTAAAGTAAGGCCTTTAAAATGCAATTTGGCCAAGTAACTTGTGTAGAGCTGGAATCATGTGTAGTCTCATAGCAACTTTAGTGACAAAAGCAGCACAACTTGTAATATGACCTATGTGTATGCTTAGATTTATGGTGTATTAATTATTTTAATAGCACTTAATGACAGTGTCAAAATTCTTTTTCCAACTTTTTTTATTTAAGGGAAAAGCTGTTATGTCACAATCTCATGCCTCTTCTAATTGGATAAGCATTTTCTTTGTCCTTGAAACAGCAAAGTAGAATGTGTACCCAAGGAGCGAGAGAATGAGAAAGCATCTGCCTTTGCATTTGGCAGGTCTGAATTAAAAAAAATCTCACTGGCGTGCTATAATTTTTTGAATTCTGACCAGCACCTCAGATTCCAATATGCAGTTCTAAATGTCAAGATAGGCCCATTTAAAAAAAATCCTTTTGGAACAACGCACAGAACATCAGTGACCTGCATACAACAGAACGCAGGCCGTGATCCAGCAAAGCACTTAAGTGTAGTAGTCTACTTAAGTCAATGAAATCACTAAAGTATCTGCTTAACTTTATCATGTGCTTTGCTGGATTGGGGCCTATGTCTATTTCTAGTCAGAGAAACAAAACGAGTGCTGAATACACACAAAACATTTCTGCCAGTTTTGTTTTTTAAAAGTACCACCTAAACTACACTGGATGGCTCAGAGTTACTTTATTTAGAAGATGCTTCATTGTGTCAAATATTTAATGGAGAGGTTATGATGCCCTGCCTTCAGAATGTCAGTGCATTAAAATGGAGCACTGCAGAGATTGTTAAAATTCCAGATGATAATGAAGCCAAACATAAAGCTATTAGGTGTTTTAATAACATGTGAAAAATGTACTACTACACACCTGTTACACAGATATGAGGTCAAGAAAAAGAAAAGACATACATGAGCTTTGGCTACTCTACTGCTTCTTACAGGTACCGGTGTACTGCATTAGCAGCCACCCTTTGGACTCTGGTGCATAGTTATGACTTGTTCTCCTTTCCCATTATATCAATTTGTAGAACTACTCTACAGACTCGGGGGGCGGGAGGGAGGTGGTTTTTGAAATGCAGGTATTTATACTCAGGACAATGTTTCCCACCACACTTCTTGATTAAAATTAACACTTTGCCTGGTTATAACCTGCTTAAACCTCGCATTTTCTGCACGTATTTCAACCTGGCAAGACACGATAATCTTTCTTCACAAATGCAGACCTTGTCATAGTTATTAATGCCTTTGTCGCCTCCATAGTATCTTACTGCAATGAGCTCCACTGATCACTTGGAAACTTCAGGTACTAAGTGGCATTTCTCACAATGAGAATGACACTATTGTGCCATAGTTTTATTTACAGGTGCAACTGAAGGGGCTGGTTTTAATCTGGGAGGTCCTAAATGGTTTGTCCTCACTACTTAGGGACTCTGCCCCTCTCCATGTCCAATCACAACAAGTGTGATCAGTAGAAGCACTTAGACTAATAGTCTGCAGTTTTAAGTGGGAGGGAATTTGGGTGCAAGCTGTTAATTGGAGTGAGTCCTCTATGCTTAAATTCACTCCCCAAGTTGGTTAGAAAGGGCCCAGATGTATTGACTCTGTTGCTATGCTGCGTGGTTCACCATTTACATTGGCTTTTCCCTGTGCTGCAAAGGTCTTGAGGTTTCTGAATGACAGAAGAGTCTCTTTTTGGGGGGGATGGAGATTCAGAGTCAATCAACTGGCTCTGAGTCAGTAGGTTAACTGTTTAATTTGTTGTGTAATTATGTATTACAGTTCAGCATGCATTTAGGTTTCAATTGGCCTATTTTATACATTTTCTTATAACCTATAATTCAACACTGCATAGTTTCACCGCATGTCAAAAGTAACCACACTCCAGTAGCTTACTCTTTAAAGAGATTTCTTTACCATTAACTTTGTTACGGTAGACACAGCCTGGACACTGTTAGAGTGACAAGGACTATTTCCTTAATTACTGTACACTGATAATAGCATTTACTCTGGCAGCTCCAGTGCTATTCAATCAAGCGAGATCCAATACAAAAAAGCTGATTTGCCAAAAAAGAGATTAGCATAAGTGCCTACAGTCACATTCTATTTTTGAAGTTAAAGCTACTATCTCTGTGAGCATTTCTTGTGGGAACTTTATGAAGATAAAATGGATTACTCTCATCTGAGATATTTGAGGAGAATTATACTGAATCTCAATTTTTAGACTAATTGCATTTTTATAGAAAAATAATGAAAACAAACACTGTAAAATAAAGAATTGGTCCAATCTGGGTTTCAAAGTGCTAAGGAGCATAGGAAAGGCATATTTATTATCTTATGTGGACACGAATATTCGTCTATTGTTGTGAATTCTGCACTCCCCAATTTTGTACTGCTGGACTTAGTCATCAGCTGATCTTCTGGTGACTAAAGTTGTTGCTTTTTACCATTAAATGCCATTATTTGCAGAAGATCTCATACTCGCTGGAAATGCAGACTTCAGCATTATGTACATTTGTAAGCAGAAGGTTAAGCAGGACATTTAAATGGTGAACTAAAATGAGATCAAGGCTTAAAACCAAATTGCAATGGGGTATGAGAGAGGTGGTAAGTGGACATTAATCACCAAACAGATTTAATCAGGTTTTAAGCACTCTTGGGGAAAACACCCAAGACTCACTCACCTAGGATCTGATCCTACCAACACTTATGCATGAGAATAACTTTACTCATGGGAGTAGTCCCACTAATATTAACAGTGTTTAAAAAGATCCGGACCGTATTCTGCTTTAGCTAAAATAGCAACCAGACAATAATTTTGTCCTAAGGGGATTTCAGAGTATGAGTAGTTGTAATCTCACTCAAATCGTCACCCTGTGCATGATAACACACATGTGGCCAGGGAGCATAAAGATCCATTTTTCCATGTTCTATCCCTTGCCACAGTCTATTACTCTGACATCAGGATCACAGACAATCAGTTATTGCCAAAGATGGGCCTGCTAAAACCATGGAGCTAGTGCCTTCTCATGGGACTGAGCTCATTGTTTCAGGGACACATTTAGCAATCATAAATCCTGGCTTAGAACACTAGCCCATCTCTACTCTTATTTCAGCACTTGCACAATGGACTTAAACTACTGGTACTACTAAAATAAAAATTCCAAGTGGATAGCAACATTTCCACAGATATACAATTCATTGTCACAAGGCAGTTTTATTAGATACTTCACCATTTAACTCTACTCCCCCAAATACAAAACCATACAACCCCCAAACTCCAGCCCATGGCAAGTTTAATGCCCTCTTTGGGATTGTCTCAAACAGTAGTAAAACAGATCCAACAACCAGGGTGAGTGCAAGATGATCTAGTCTTGGCTGGAGGAGGGGAGAGGGCAGTGAGGGGAGAAGAGGTAGAAGTGGGGAGGTGGGAAATGGGGCAGATATCCATCCATTGTTTATATTTTCAAGGAGTAGCAAAATGAAAAATTCTACAACCCCTTAATTCTGATTGTAGAAGAGGGACAGTGATGTAACTGTTCTCAGGGAACAATATTCTTATTTTATGGAAGGAGGTGAGCCAAGATACTTAAGCTCTAGAGAACCTTTAACACAGGAAGCTATTTATCATAACAAGCTTGGTTGATACTGCTCCCATACTGAACCAATTAGATTAGCCTATTTCGTCATACTTCATAACCTGGGATGATAGGTTTCCAAGCATGGTACAGTGCAGTAATTGAATTTTGATCAAACACACATGGCTCATAACCCTGTATGTGAAACTTTCAGAACAGTTCACAGCTTTTAAATATCCAGTCAACATGTTGCCAAAAGTACAGGATGTACTTGATGCAAGTGGGAAGGAGGAGAGAGAGTGTGCTATAACTTGGTACAGCTGTAAAACAAACATTTTTTATTCTGATTCTGTTCCTACTTTTGCAAAGGAGCTGGGAGAAAGACAGCGAATGTCAAGTCAGTCACTTTTCTTCCCAGCCCCCATACTTCCCAGATATACACTTACATTGCCACATGCTTTTAAATTCAAGATACTGTATTAGATACTAGGAATTGTCTGTTAGCATGATGTTCATTGCTCATGCTTATTTAACAAAATAACTGAAAAGTAGTGCACATCATCCTCTTAATAGGGCTACAGTGGATGAGATCATGAAATGACAGCCCTAAAAGATAAAGATTCCTCCTTTCCCCGGCTTCTGCTATTGCCATACAGTGGGGTAGTCCTGCTCTCTTCAGACTATGCAGGGACAGTCAGTCACACAGACGTTGGTATCAGTCAGGTCCTTAGCAGACAGTGGCTTCCCATTACATGTTTTCCGTATGTCTTCCTCTCAGTAAATGCAAGGGGTTTGAAAGAGGTCTCTAAAGAGAACAGAAAATAGTAACCATTTCATTCCCAACAATTTTTGGTACAAGATGTTTGCCATAAAATATGTCCAAAGCACTGTGAATCTGAACAGCAAAAAGAACATTGTGTGTTTTGGTACTTGTTAAAATAATATGTCTGATAAATACAAGTTACAGCTGCCACCTGGCCTACAACTATCCTAAGCGTGCCAGGGCTTTTTAGAGCAGTGGTTCCCCAACCTACATGTTTCAGTAATAGCACATCACTGCTAACCTCCTTTTCAGATGTGTGCACTCTACCCTGCCAGGGAGCTGGGGCTGCTTCAAACCCCAATTTCATGCAATCCTGTACAACTTAAAGGGATACACTACTGATTCAGCTGAGAGCTTTGTTTATTATGCTGATCCAAATGACCAAAAAAGATTGGGAACCTCCACTTTCATTCTGTGGATTATCCATCTCACAGCCTTCTTACACACCTGTTTTGGAGCACAGGTGGGTAAGAGAGAAAAAGTTACAGCTTCCAAAGGGGAAAATGGTGCTTTCCAGATTTAACCAAAATATGGACCCCACTTTGTCTTGCCTTTGGGTCAGGACCAGGTACAGTGACAGAGTGCAACCACCAATGTAAGCCTTCTAAACGCAGAACAGAGTCCAGGAAAAAAATGACTAACAAGCTGTTGCAGAGAAGAGGAGACAGAAAAAGAACTTAGTGTGCCACACGTCAAAACTGGGTCCAAATTTCAGCTCAAGGCAAGGTTAAAAAACAGGCCTGTTATAATCCTCTTAAAGAGAGGATTTATACAGTAATTACAGTAATGGAAACTGATCTTTATAATTCTTATACCAGCTACAGACCCGGTGTGTCGTATGCATCTGCAGAGGCTGCTAGCTACGTTTCTCACAGCCTGCAGATGCAATCTTGAGAACAGACCGTTCAAACCTACAGAGGCAGAACTATCAAAACAGGGCATGGGCATGTCCAAGATCTAATTAGGTTCAGGGGCTAAAGATAAAAAAATCCTAGAAGAAGCTGGGAGTGTGCTATTTTTTTCCTGTTAAGATGGAGAGATGCTGTGCAATATATTTTAATTTCTTGTCCATGGAATTTGTGGAACCAAGTTTTCCTTTCACACCATGTAAACAGGTTTAGAATGCATTTGTTTTTATCTTTCCATTTCCTTTCCTTTGTTACAGCCTGAGGTCCACAGAGACAACACAATGGTAACAGCATCCTGTTCTGGCACAAATTCACCTCACATTCACACTCCTGTTAATCTTTGTTGTGCGAGAAAGAACAGGAGTGCTAAATGTTTGCCTGTGTACTAAAGAGCAGCTTCAGCAGACCTAGGAATTCAACTATGGGGTTTGGTTCCACCTACAGGAAGCAAAAAGAAAAATCATGCTCTCAAGCTTCTGCAGTACCTTATTCCACAGGTCTAGAACCTGAAGCCAGGCTTGTTGCAGTCATCTATCCAGCCCCAGTCCTCCTGACTTCATTTAGGTAAAGGACTCCCTGACTGGATGCCAGGTCATCTCTAATTAATACTAATTAATATAGTTCTGTAGAAGTCCAACTTTTCCAGAGTCCTTCAGAAATTGTGGAAGGAAGTCCACAAGAGACAGGTATTTTTGGCAGCTGACGCATGAATGAATAGGGAGTTATGTACACATAGATGGAAATATGCTTTAAAGTGAAAAAATCCTGATAAAACCTCCTTGAAATATTATGGATCATATTGGTCTTCTAATATCTGGTTAAACATTTGGAAAATACTACAAAGAAAGATAGCAACTTAGGTTTTGTCTACACTGGAACCTGAACAACAAAAGTTTTGTCATTCAGGGGAGTGAAAAACACCCCCCCACCCCAAAAAACAACAAAAAGCACCGGTGCATCAGCTCTCCTGCTGACAAAGCTACCACCGCTTGTTGTGAGTGGAACTTTTTTGTTGGCGGGAGAGCTCTCTCCTGCCGACAAACAGTGGCTACGCCGCATGCCTTTTAGCAGCACGGCTATAGTGGCACAGCTGTGTCATTAAAAAATGCGTAGCGTAGATGTGGCCTTAGAGTTTGGTAGGACTAGAAAGCATCACAGTGTAACAAAGACTGGCTTTGGGGTGGGGGCAGGGAGAACAGCAGCAGTTCCTGACTAAAACCTGATCTAACAAAACACTAAAGCACCCGCTTAGAATTAAGCACTTGCTTTGATGGAATGGGGCCTACGTTACTTTTGTGGTTAACTGCCTCCTGCAACTGCTGGTTGAAAAGAATATATCTAGTACATGACTGCTGATTAAGATACATGCCTTTAGTGAGAGAAAAGAGCTCGTGTAAAAAGCCTAAGTTCACAGGTGCATATAAATATATGATGGACCTTTACAACAATGAAGAGAGTGTAAGAACTCAAAGTTACCAGACTGTACACATGTATCTCAGGGAAAGAACTGTATTACAGCATAGTAGAGAAATATAATCAAATCATGTAATTACAGTCACAATATATGCCTATGAGACAGCAGAAACGTACCATTGCCTGTGCAACCTTATCTTTGACATTTTCCCAATTGAATGTTTAAGCACACAACTGTAATGTTCCCAACATCATTGTGTGTATAGAACAGTGATAGAAATTGCAGCAGAAGCAACAGGAAGGGCAGTGGATCCAGAAATGGGCTAAATGAAGCTAAAAAAACATGAAAAGATGGAACACGTGAGAAGACTGAATACACAGAGCTGGGTAAGCAAATATAACCCAATATACTCTTGAGGAACAAAGGAAACCATAGTTGATGGGGTCACAACAGATGTTTTCCAAAAACTGTGACAGAACATTTAAAACACAAAGATCTTCCTGCAGATCTGAACAGTTTTACTGGCAGGCTACAACAATACACCTTTGGAAACAATAAAACCTAGCATTTTAAGGTTTTATCGGGTACAGAAATCAAAGCAGGGAAGTGATATCTCTGAGTAGTAAGTGGAGAGAGAAAAATGCAGCAGAGTCAACAAAACAGCATCAGGAGACATTAGCTATTTCCCCTGCCATTTAAATCATTGCAGTCCAATAGCAGTCAGAGAGTTTGCTCTTTAAAATGCTTTTAAAACAGTTTTCCTGGAAAACAATGGTATGTGCATATTATGATGATGAGGTATACAGGTTGACGCGCACAACTAATGCAGTCATGTCCTACTCACACACAAAACCATATAACTACACCACAATGTATTCCCTATTTTTATATAAAAATTTAAAATAATTTATATATTTATATACACCCACCTTCTCACTGTACAAATCAATGCAATGTGCCCCAAAGTGACTCCTTTGACTAGGTACTACACTACACTTCAGTACTGCTGTAGATAGAAAACCTTACGATAAAGAGAATGAAATAATGACAATGTTTATAGAGAATACATGGTCTTGTGGTCTGACTGGCATTCAGGTAATATGGGTTCAATTCCTGGCTCTGCCATACCTTCAGCAAAGTAGTTGCTTTCTAACCCTAAGTTCCCCATCTGTAAAACAGCAGTAATATTTCACCTCACAGGGCTGCTGAGAGGATAAGTTAATGAACGTCTGTGAAGCAGTCACATACTATGGTGTTGGTGGTTGAGTTGGGGCAGGAAAATAACTATCTAGATACATGATTAGGATTTTTATTGCCTTTCTCTATAGAGAGAGGCAAACCAACTATTGAGGGAAGAGTTCCAATCCTTTGAGAGGATTGTTCTAAAACAGTAAGATCACTCAAAACCAGAGAAACAATAGGGTGAGCAGCTTGACTTATGGGAGGATGCCACGGCATTCAGTAATTCAGAAAATCATTATAAACACTTAGATGCCTAGCACTGCAGATAACTTGTCATGAATTCAGTGGTCTGGATTTACATCTTGCAAAGATGTTTTTACAGTCCTTATGGTAAACATTCAGTGTCTGACTCTAACAGCATGAAAATGCAGACCTCATTACTTCTTTAGTGATCTTGTCATTATCATGTGCCTGCTCAGTTAAGCCTCTCCAATTATTAGTATTGACCACACAGCTGAAGTCTAATCACATGAGGATGCATGTATTGAGCCGCACAAGATGGTTCAAACACAAAATGGTGTGCTGGCAAAAGTTGGAGGAGATATGTAACTAGCTCTTGTGATGTCTGTGACATTGTATGATTAAAATATGACATGCTTCTCATTGTTGCTAACACTGTTATACAAATCTTATACGAAGTATATCATATTAAAGTATCAATGGAAAAGTCACAACCTATCAAATGTGATTATCCTGTTTGTATGTGTGTATCATCTTTGTATCTAAAGTTAAGAATATTGACTATGTACCAGTATTTCAAATGTGTTTGCTCCTCGGGTAACACCCACCATGTAGTTTACATCCAGTCTAGCCAGTACATTGTGAATGGACCATTCAAGTTGATGGCCCATTAATGAACACAGTGGGCCATGGAAGAAGCTTATCCATGCCTGGTAGGCCTTCCTGTGCATGTTTTAGTCAGAATATGGGTAATGGCCGTTTCTATGACTCACTGAAGAATGCAAGGGCATGTGACTAGCTCATCTGACTCTGGACTCCATCTTGTGCCTGTACTTTTCCACAAACTGCACTCAGGGCTTTGTTTGGGACAAGGAAGTTCCCTTCACATGGGAGAAGGTATAAGAAACCCTGGAAGCAACTCCATTTTGCCTCTTTCCTGCTCTGATCTCTGGACTGTGGACTTACACTAAAAGGAGCATTCCAATCAATGGAATGAGGAGCGTCCAATCTTTTGGAAGTTACCAGAGACTTTACAAGCCAGCAGTTTATTCCACCATTGCTTCAAACCTGATACAAGAACTCTGCAATGCTTGTATGTATGTGATAAGAAGACAGAAAATACTACATTGACTCTATATAAATCCATGGTACACCCACATCTTGAATACTGCGTGCAGATGTGGTTGCCCCATTTTAAAAAATTATATTGGAATTGGAAAAATTACAGGGCAACAAAAATGATTAGGGGTATGGAATAACTTCCATATGAGGAGAGATTAATAAGACTGGGACTTTCAACTTGGAAAAGAGACTACTAAGGGGGGATATTACAGAGGTCTATAACATCATGACTGGTGTGGAGAAAGTAAATAAATAAGGAAGTGTTATTTACTCCTCAAACACAAGAACTAAGGGTCACCAAATGAAATTAATAGGCAGCAGCTTTAAAACAAACAAAAGGAAGTATTTCTTCACACAACGCACAGTCAATCTGTGGAACTCTGCCAGAGAATGTTGTGAAGGCCAAGACTGTAACAAGGTTCAAAAAAAGAACACGATAAATTCATGGGTGATTGGTCCATCAATGGGTATTAGCAAGGATAGGCAGGGATAGTGTCTCTAGCCTCTGTTTGCCAGAAGCTGAGAATGGGCAACAGGATGGATCACTTGATTATTAACTGTTCTGTTCATTTCCTCTGAAGCAGCTGGCATTGGCCACTGTTGGAAGACAGGATACTGTGCTAGATGGACTTTTAGTCCAGTATGGCTGTTCTTATGTTCCTTTGAACTCTCTCATCTTTCTTTTCTTTTATAAATAAGACTTTAGATATTAGATACTAAAGGACTGGCAACAGTGTGATTGTTGGGTAATATCTGAGTTTTACATTTACCTGGCTATGTGGCTGATCTCTTGGGATTGGAAGAAACCTTTGTTTGATTAAATTGATATTAAATAACCACTCATCATTAAGTCTAGTGTCTGGGTGGTAAAACAAAGGCTGGGATACCTAAGGAAACTGCATTTCTAACTTCTTGTTCACCAAAAGTTTACTTTTGTTACTGGCTTGGTATATCTTATGGAAGAATAACCACCAGTTTGGGGTGGGTCTGCCCCATTTCTCAACAGTTTGTCTTGAATTTGGTATTCTCAGCTGTGACCCACTGAGGCACGGTGACAATGTCAACTTCTGAAAGGCTTCATAAACGCAGCATGTTTTGAAGAGGAATGTGAAGGAGAGGGACACAGTTAGTAAGAAGAAGGGTCAGAGGAAAATAATCTGAAGAGAAGAGAGAAATTAAAGTTGGCCAGAACTTTGAAGGCCTTGCTGTCTAGTCATCCTTGGGTGTAACATCACCACCATACACAGGCTCTTAAGTAGAGGAGAGGGAATATGAAACGGGCGGCAAAATCGCACAATCCTGAGCAGTATGAAAAGGACACAAACAATCACTCCATGTTTTGTTGCAGTTATATGAGGGGGAATAAAGGATGAAAACACTTTCAAGGTGGACAGGCCTAAAATAGTACCTGTTTATGCTGAGTCTCCACACAACGTGCCTCTGTACTGACAGATACTCTTCCCTGCTAAACTTTCTGTTCTTGGGAGTGGTGTAATAAAGACATGTACAAACATTTTATATAAACTGATGGACTTGCCAACATGTCAAATTTTCATTCACCTTAAGTTTTCATGCACAAATCAGCCTCAGCGTCATTTAAAAGACAATAAAATGGAATGTTGCAAGTAGTCTGGACATGCTAAATAACTGTTCTTGAACTGTACCTTTCTTAAAATGTACTCAATATAAATAATTTTTAGCCCAATTCATACATGGTTTACTCTTCTTACATGTGGCATATACTGATAACACCTTGACTGCTTAAAAGTAAGGTCATGTTTACGCATGGTGTTTTATATACTTATCCTTAATTTAGGTTAAAAGGAAACTAAATAGCTGAAATGACACAAATTTTCTATGAAATAGTGGTCTTTGGAAAATTCATAAATCGCTTTAGAAAACATTGATAAGGAAATACTAAAATAGTTTTGAAGATTGTATATGAATAAAAAATCCAGAAATGTTATGAAATAGGTTATAGTGAAGACAATGTAATGTAGATTTCTGGCCCAAATTAAAACAGTTTTTCTGTAATTAGCTTGTTTCAAATCTACTAAATGGTTAAGGGAATGTTTAAATTAAACAGTATGAAGATATTGACTATCAAACATCAACATTGAAGCTTCTGACTATATCTTTCATGACCTATTTTTGGTAAATCTTTTCCTGACCTGTTTTTGGTAAATCTTGGATGTCACACGGAAGTTTGGTTACAAAGCATTTGGTGAGATGCCAAGGGTATATGTTTCATTAAAATACAAGATGCCTTTGTCAACAAGGACCAAATAAAAGAAGAGCGCTAAGGACTTTATTGCGTAGGTTAGAGGGATCAATCCACATACCTATATTTTATTACATCTTCTATTTAAGTAGTATAAAGAATTTGTACTTCTGACATATGAATGTAGGTACATTAAAACGTAGGTACATATGTTTTGTAAGAACTGTTTTGAAAAAGATGGAGCATAGATGATGGTTAAAAGAATAATAAAGTTGATATCTGACCATGAAAGTCAACAAGTTTGGGGTTTTTTGAGACTGAAGGTATAATACAGGCAAAATAAACAGGTTTTATTCTAACTTTGATGCATAATGTCTACTGTGCCTGTTGAATGATATGTTTATGGTATTACACTTTTCTATCCCTTCCCCAGCTGCTGATTATCATTATTAAACTGTGAGCCAAATCAGGCAACCTCACTGAAATTTGTTCTTTACCTTCAAGGAAAACCTCTTTAAATTAATAGGATTGCAAACGATATAAATCCTCACAGATTTTGGACCAATCTTTTTAAAATCAGGCTCTTAAGTCTTTTTTTTCTGACTTTCGAAAAAAATAAAGATGTCCATTTCATAGCTGTTACAGAGGCCTTACAATTCTGGAAACAGCGACATAGGTTTTAGACACAGGGGTGATATCCTAGGCCTCCTGAAATCAATGCCAAAACTCCCACTGACTTCAACGGTGCCAAAATTTCTCTCCAGATACTTTGCCTGAAACCAGAGTAATTTTTATCCCATTAGCTGTTACTAACTCACATTGAAAGATAAAACAATCACAGTGCACGTTATGAATATCTGCATAACTCACAAGTAGCACAGCCTAGAAGTCATGAGCTACGTGTTCACAGAAATGGAGCAGCCACACAGAAGAGACTTGGAAAATGAGTACCTCTGATGTGAAGTCTTGCGCTTGATAACATTTCTCTAATATCTTTACCTGCTTTTTTCAATACACAACATTTAATAGGCAGTTACATAGTTCTAATAAAGTGTCATTAATATAAATCAGTTATCAGGAATTTCAGTGGACTACTGAATCCAATAAATCAAAATGCACCTGTGTATACATGATACTTCCTGCCAGACTTAAGGATACATCTGTGTTTTTCTGAATGTCTCATTGGTAATACTCAGCCTGGTAAGCCTTGCTCCGTAGTAATCTATAATGTAACTAGAGCCATCCGAAGGTCCAACAATCTAGAAAAAAAAAACAAGATTTTCCAATATTAATTAAAATGTATACACTTTTTGTGCTAATGTCTCAATTATTGTTAATTTGTCCCTCACAAAATTAACATGTTACAAAGCTTCCCCCCACTCTCTCTGCACCACAAAAATCAGTTCAGATGGCAGAACTAAACCAAGCTGCCTTCAATCCTCCTTTACTGCCTTCTTGATGGACCAGCAGGTATTGCCTTTATCTCCTTCAGAAACACATGGAATTTAACCACCTTCAGGAAAGTTCATGGTGTCCCTGTGCATACAGCTAATTATGAGGGGGTTCTGAGGGAAGAAGGAGAAAGGCAAGTAAAAACTGCTTCTGAGCAGAAGCACTACATGCCAAAAACCCATACTGAATATTTACAGCCAGGTAAAACTAATAAGCAGCAAATGCTCCATGTTTTGCTTCGACTAGCACTGGGGAAGAAACAGTAGGTTCAGCCCCTAGTATGTCTATGACTGAATGCACCCCTATAGTCACACCCTACACACCACAGTAATAATCTTTGTACAAATTATGCCTTGTAAGGTTGTACCCCTATGTTCACCCCCTTTATAGGACTATGATAAATCTTGTACAAAGCATGCCTTGTGAGTATCATTTGAAAACTCGTAATTTGCTGTTCATTATTGTTCTAGTAAAATATATGTGGCAACGTTGTATGTAAAGCTATAAGATACTACTATATGATGTTACTAAGACATATTCCAAATCTGGAGAGGTCACAATCTGGTTCTCCAGAGACAAAAGGCTAGTGAATGCCTCAGCCAGGTATCAATAAGATCAAATGGGCCTGGTTACGTTGCCTTTCTTTGGCAGGAAAGAGGGTGTGGGTAAAAAAATCTACATCTTCACAAAGGAACAGCTGGGAGTTTCCATCCACACAGACTTTCTATCTACTGAACTTTAGCTGGAGATGACAAAGAAGAGAAGGATCTCTACCCACGGCATCAACAGCACTTGAAGAACAAAGGAAGCAGCATAGGACTGGGGAGGGATCCTAACTGAAAGAGTTTCAGCCAGCAAGACTGTTGGAACTTGTGGTGAGAGAGACCTTTGCTGTGAATTCACTCTAGCTTGTTAAGTTAGCCAGTAGTTGTGTTTTACTTTTATTTTCTTGTAACCAATTCTGACTTTTATGCCTCATTACTTGTAGTCACTTAAAATCTATCTTTCTGTAGTTAATAAGCTTGTTTTACTGTTTTATCTAAACTGGTGTGCTTGGGAAACTCAATTTGAGATAACAAGATTTATGAGTATCATTTTCTATTAATAAAATGATGGAGTTTATATGAGCTTGTATTGTCCAGGAGAGGGCTGGGCAGTACAACACATACATTACTGGGAGAAAGTCTGTAACGGGGAATTTGCTGGTGTTACTCTGTAGTGTAATTCATGAGTGACTGGCTATAGCACTCATACTCCATAGCTGGGAGTAACTTACATGCTGGAGGCTGTATGTGAGCAGACCAGGAGTGGTAGCTCTCATGGCGAAGCAGTGTAAAAGGCACCCCAGGTTGAAGAATTGAGGGGACACAGCTGTTCATCAGTTCAGATTGTACCCTGGGTAATGTCACAAAGGGATCACTAATAACTCACTGGTCAATAATATCATGGTGAAATGGCTATAGCAACCTTGTATGTAAAGTTATGAATATAAGCTGAAATCATGACTGAAGCATGTTTATCAGACAAATCTGGGAAGGGGGTAAACCTGTATCTCAAAGACAAAGGACAAGGTGACACTTCTTACCAGGTGTCATCAAAACTGATGGCCAATCACCTGTCAAGTGGCCAATCTTTGGCAAGGAAGGGGTCAGGAACAAACAGATCTGCATCTTAGCAAACAACAGTGTGAAATCTCTTTCATCAAAGATTCCTTGTCTCTATCCTCACAGCAGGAGTGAAATTTATCTAGGGGTAATCCTCAGGAAAATGCATTTCAAAGGGTGATTGACCTATACAAGTGAGGGCCAAAACCACCCCAAGTTCTCTCTCCCTATTCATCTTTCCTTCACCTAAGATGACAAAAGAAACAGTCTTTTGACTTTGGGAGCAGATCCTAGCCCGAGAATTTGGTCAGCCATGTTACTGGGAGCATGTGTTAACAAGTTAGACTTGGTTCAAGGTAAAATTGTTAAGTTTTAGCACTAGAAAACATTTTATCTTCATTTCTCCTGTAACCATTTCTGACTTTAAGGCCTTATACTTGTACTCTCTCTGTTTGTAGTTAAATAAACTTGTTTTATTCTTTAATCAAATCTAATCCAGTGTTGCATTCAAATTGAACTGTATGGGTAACTCCATTTAAAAGGAAAGAAACCAACAGAACTCCACTAGCCATCACATACAGTCCTCAGCTAAAACCTCTCCAATGCATCATCAGTGATCTACAACCCATCCTGGACAACGATCTCTCACTTTCACAGGCCTTGGGAGGCAGGCCAGTCCTCGCCTACAAACAACCCGCCAACCTGAAGCATATTCTCACCAGCAACGACACACTGCACCATAGTAACTCTAACTCAGGAACCAATCCATGCAACAAACCTCGATGCCAACTCTGCCCACATATCTACACCAGCGACACCATCACAGGACCTAACCAGATCAGCCACACCATCACCGGTTCATTCACCTGCACATCCACCAATGTAATATACACCATCATGTGCCAGCAATACCCTTCTGCTATGTACATTGGCCAAACTGGACAGTCCTTACGTAAAAGGATAAATGGACACAAATCAGATATTAGGAACGGCAATATATAAAAACCTGTAGGAGAACACTTAAATCTCCCTGGACACACAATAACAGATTTAAAGGTAGCCATCCTGCAGCAAAAAAAACTTCAGGACCAGACTTCAAAGAGAAACTCCTGAGCTTCAGTTCATTTGCAAATTTGACACTCTCAGCTCAGGATTAAACAAAGACTGGAATGGCTCGCCAACTACAAAAGCAGTTTCTCCTCCCTTGGTGTTCACACCTCAACTGCTAGAAGAGGGCCTCATCCTTCCTGATTGAACTAACCTCGTTATCCCTAGCCTGATTCTTGCTTGCATATTTATACCTGCCTTTGGAAGTTTCCACTACATGCATCTGACAAAGTGGGTATTCACCCATGAAAGCTTATGCTCCAATACATCTGTTAGTCTATAAGGTGCCACAGGACTCTTCGCTGCTTTTCCATTTAAAATAGCAAACTACTGGATATTGATCCTCTTAGAGGGGCAATGGACCTAAAATATCTGAACTGTCCAGGAGACGGCTAGACAGTACAGAATACATGTTTTGCGGGAAAAATTGGGACTGGGAGTGTGTTGGGGTTGCCCTATAAGTGGTAACCAATGCTAGTGGAAACCAGAGTGTGACTGGAGTATGCTGGCAGGCTGCAGCTATACACAGACTCTCGGGGTGTGCCCAGCCTGCTGCTGGCTGTTTGTGAGGGGCTCAGGTTGGGAACTACAGCGGCAAAACATCATGAGGCACCCCTGGTTGCAAGGCAGATGGCGACACAGCTCCTCATTGGTCTGGACAGCACACTAGAATGTCATAATGTCATACAAACATGGCAGCTAAAGAACAGTGGTTTAATGTACATATACAACCATCTGATTTAGAATCTTTAACACAGAAGACAATATAAATGACATAGAATGCACATGTGCCTTTGTGGCTACAGTGATGAAGTTAAACAGCAAAAGCTCAGCTGGGCTTTAGTTCAGTCCAATTAGTTTAGCAATAGCTACTAAGGTAATAACTTCAGCATTGCAGGTTTTATTTTTGCAGGTCTGTATTAGAAAAGAATATGCAAGTTTATTCTAAATTTTCTTTACAAATACAGTAGCATGAACCACAGACAAACTGTTCTTTCTTCTCCCATTTGGTCCATACACAATGTTTGAGATGATGGCCCAAAGAAAAAATGTTGCTATCCCATAGGGGAGTAGGAATTGTTTTGGGTGGAAGGAGCCAAGATAAATTAAACAGTGTGGGAAATAAGTGTATGTAAAGGTCTATGATCAACTGGAATAAGTATTCTATCAAATAAAGGTAAGTTATTTTAGCCTATTGTGGCCACAATTTATAGTGGCCTTACAAAACAGGTTGTATGATGGTGCGAGGATTTGTGCCTTCCTATTAAGATGTAAAGAAAGTTTACAACTGAAAATACATTCTGTATATTTTAGCACAGGAGAGAGAAGTTACAATATTCTCTTCGGCCAGGATCAAGAGTTAACTACATTTTTGTTCACCTTCCTCCCCAGTGTACATGATTCCATCATTGTGACACTGATGATTTGCCTCAAGAAAGTGTTTATGAGAAAAAGCACATACTGAGGTAAAACTACCAACTGTACAAAAAGCAAAAATTGAACAAAAAAAATGGAGTTTAATTATTCCGGATGGGACTGATTTAAAAAAGATAGTTGGAAATCAAAACAAACAAACAAAAAAACCAAACAAATTCTTCTAAATAGACCCATCCTGGAATAGAGAAACTCTTGCCGCTTTGTGAGGCCACAAGATATCAGTTGAAGGCCTTAATCTTCAGTAATCCTAAAAAGACCCCTCTCAATTAACGTAGGTCATCTTTTTGCAAATATAGATAAAATAGCAACATCAACTTTCTCCTTCTCCACCCTGCAGTCCTTGAAGTAATGGGGTAGGCCAGCAGCCGTTCATATGTAAACTTGCAATTGAATTTTATTGATTTCAAAATATTAAATATAGAAGTTGAACATCACATGCATGTGTACCACAGCGCAAAACACAAAACCCATGTGTTATGCCTTCTTCTTCCTCACTCTTCTACAATCGTCTTGTGTTAGAAACACTGACCAAACTGCTTCTAAGCTCACCTTTTGATTGAAAGGGGGAGGTCTGTTTCTGATGTTTATAGAACACCAGTCACTACAGTATTTCCCTTTCCACTCTGGGGAACGTGCAGAGCACCAACCAGAAGAAGCAAAGCAGAAATGAAAATGGAGCAGGGTAGCCAGACCATGACTGTGGAGATGTATACTTACCACATACTGTTTTGCGAACAGAAGTGCTGGATATAGCCATTTGTTTTAAGTTTTAAAATGGCACACAACATCCAACACATTCTGGTTTGCAAAGCAAACATGTGGTTGGATTTCTGAAGTTTAGGAAATAAATGCACACGCTTTACAAACTACCTGGGACATTTTTAGTGTTTACTATTCGGCATTGTCACTGCCTCTTTTCTCCTGGTCTTCAGTAACTTGCTGTGTTTGTACAAAGAAATACTAACTAGAATCCAGACTTCTGCAGCACCACGGGTCACCATTTCAGAGGCTGGTTAATCTTAATAAGAAACTCTGATAATCTATGGTTTCAGAGTAGCAGCTGTGTTAGTCTGTATTCACAAAAAGAAAAGGAGTACTTGTGGAACCTTAGCGACTAACCAATTTATTTGAGCATGAGCTTTTGTGAGCTACAGCTCACTTCATTGGGTGAATTTCCACTGAATGCATCCGATGAAGTGAGCTGTAGCTCACGAAAGCTTATGCTCAAATAAATTGGGTAGTCTCTAAGGTGCCACAAGTACTCCTTTTCTTTTTTCTGATAATCTATACATGTCAAGGAAAGGAGCAGATTTTTTTCAAAGGTGCCTAAGTGAGTGTGGCGCACAGGTCCCCATTGGCTTTCAGTGGGGCTGTGGCACTTAAGTGCTTTAGAAAATGTCACCCTAGGTAGTTAGGTTTATCCCTGCACCCTCTTGAATGCATTTACACACGTCTTCCTGGTGATGTGTTAAACCAGGGATCCTAAATACAAGCAGTCATAAGATCCTGTGGTATTTACCACTCCAAGCCACATGTGACCTGGCCAAACTACAGTGCTGGACAACTAGATTCTGCTTAAGTTCTCAAGTAGTTTTAATAGGATACATCAGTCTTCACTCTGCCATAACACATATATGCAGTGTTGCTTTGTGTGGTGAAAAAGCTTCCAGGTTACAGCTAGAGGTGGTTGCACTGCAGTGGCTGGAAGAAATATCTAGTTGGCAATTTATTTTAAGATCAAATCTATTTATATTTAAATCTATTTCCTATGATGCACCCTCTGCAACATCATGACTGAGAAATCAGGACCTGGATTTTAATGTGTAAGATAGTCAGAAAATTCTCTTGAAGCCAAAAACAGACTGGCCCCTTTTTTGGACTTTATCAAACTTCTAATAAACAAAAAATTGATTTGTATCCTAGTTTCAAAGTGTCAACTTACCTGCATTGAAATGAGAATGAAATCAATTAGGCTACCAATTCCACAAAACCCTACAGTGCAGAACTTTAACAAACCTAGAAAGGAAAATAAAACTTAATTACAGCCTTAAGCAATTCTCTATAAAGTTTATGGAACTTTACAGTTTCCAGGTGCATAGGCATTTCCCCCATCTGACCCCCCCGGGACATTTTAGCATGTGAGTGAAATTAACACAAGAATCTTTTAATTAATTATCAGAAAGTCTTTAAATTTTCTTTACATTTATGCACCAACCTGTAAAGAAACTTGCTTAGTTTAAAAGATTTAAACACAAAATGAATGTAACAGACATAATTCTGAGAAAAGGAAGAGAATGAACACATTAGTGTCAACTTAAATTACTGAGTTTTTCCTTTCTCTGGCTGGATGCACAGTTAATCTTAAAAGAAAGAACAAAGAAATCTTTGCGCATTGGAGGTCCAAAACTTATTTTAACATGAAACACTTTCTACTGTCTCAAGTTGTAGAACATACTAATTAGACTTTGGAAACAGCTGCTGCATTACATGCTGGGTTTGAATATTGTTCTCATTGCTAGTGTATACAATACTAATGTTTAAGGGGTTGCCAACAATGTAGACACTTTTCTAGGAACTTACAGACATATTCCACTGCATTTAGAATGAATACATGGACATGACTAACAAATGACTGTTTCACTGAGATGATTTTCCATTAAAGGTGAGGCAGAACTGTAATAAAATGTGGAGATACTTAGAGGATGTCTTTAGAAGCAGAAGGTTGCCTTAAATAGTTTATTGAACAGACTTCATTGTATGTGAACACTGTAAAAATTTCAAAAGCATCAAAGTGACTTAAGAAACTTAAACCCCAAGGACTTTCAATAAAGCTTAAGGGGATAAGTTACTTTTGAAAATGTGTCTCAGTCTCCTAACTCACTTAGGCTCTTCAGAAAATTTTATCCAAGATTAGAAAGTGTAAAAAGTGTTTGTCTTTAACTAGATCAAGTTAATTGTAGGATATTGTATGAGGAGAACTGTGCCATCTTCAGCAGCGAAAACAAGTTTATACCTGCGTGTAAAATGCACAGCACACTTTGGATGCAACAGAAATCAACATGCTGGAAATACAGGATACATACAGCTATATTGTTAACAAAATTGAAAAATGGAAACCTAATAATGAGAATGTGACTCTTGACCAAGAGGAAGAAAAACATTTAGCAGGCCGGCCTTCCAATGGAGCAAAAATAATTTCACTATGACTCTATAATATGAAATGGTGTCAATCAACGAAGCATACAAGTCATGTTATATGTACAAAATTATAAATACATAAATGTTTAAAACAAATTGTTCTCAGTGGTTGGTGTCTGGGACTTGCAGCAGCCAAACATTTTAAGCTTTGACATCAGTATTGGCTGTAGTGTCAAAAAACATAAGGGCAACAGCCAGGAAACAAATGCCAGCAACAGGGGACAACAGTTCTGAGCTAGGACTAAAATGATGCACGCCAATTTCTCTGGTAAATACTAGAGTACCAAATTTATTATCTCTGCAACTAGAGCATTCCCCACCCAAAGTATTCGTGGATAACTCTTCCATCTTTTGTCATGCTCTCAATACATATTCTGAACCCCACTGGGAGTTGGCATTTTAGGGACCCAACAAGCCACTTTCACCCCACCATCTGTACTGGCGTCAGAAGCAGAGACAGTAGCTCCAAGTGTGTAAGCACTTTATGTATGGAATTAGCTGCAAGATTTTATCATTCTAGTCACTTTCATTCTCCATTATTGGTTGTAGAAACACTTATTGAGCCCAATTTTTGCTTTGGGGAGTATGGGGAGGAAATGCAGGAAAGGAAGCAAAGACAGAAAGGAGGAAGAAAAAATAAACAAACAGTGGAAGTGACCAAATAACTGTAAGAGTAGAGGGGAAAAAACAGGCCATTATATCACGAAAATTGTGGGTTATTTAAGTTTAGGGGGAGGCACTCCAAACCAGCCTTCCATGTAACAAACTAACTTGTTAATCTGTATTCAGTAGTTTGGATGAACCAGTCCTCCCTCTAAACACAACAGAGGGAAGTTATCTGCAAGAGTGTTTGTAATTTTCCATCACATTTCTGCAAAATATTTCAGCACTATTTACTCTTTAGTTCTGCTTCTTTCAGGGAATGGATGATCCCAAATAAACTGACAGTTGACAAGCAAGCCACTGTATTGATTTTATATTAAAATAAAATGCTGCACCCCAGGGCCCATCCCCCAGCCATCTTCAAGCTATTCTGAATATCAACAATGACAATTGGTAAAGAGTTAGAATTTTGCAACAATCCATTCACTAATCAAACTTCAGACTTTCTACAGGAAAGGTCTTGATGCTTTAAGGGTTTGAGCCTTTGATTACTGCAGTAAAAAAGTCTGGGATCTTGTAGTTAAATCCATCCTAAGTGAGGAAAAAATATCAGAAAAATTAGGGTGGATGCCTTTGGAGCTAAAAATCCTCGATTACCTTTTTAAAAGATGACTACCATAAAGCACAAAGGTAACTGAATTTTTGTGAACCTGAGAAATTTTGGGGATTATTGCCCTTCTGGATAATGTAAGATGCTCAAGGCTCTTGGAAGATATGAAATGACAGCCATGCGTCTACTGGAATCAACCTTCAACCCATGCTGAGGGCACCAAGGACCTGGCTCCATGGCTCAGGGGTTAGAGCATTGGTCTTGTAAACCAGGGATCGCAAATGCAAACCTCGCTGGGGCCTGAGCAGCAGTTTCTGGTTGGACCTGTTGTCCCACCTCTCAAATTGCAAGTGTAGATTTAATAGGGATCGTACTAACGTGCAGAAGAGGAGAAAGTATTTTAGCTGGAGTCTAAAAAGAAATCTAAGACTGAAACAGGACTGCACTTATTTCCTTTACATGTGAATAGTGTTACTTATTTGTAGCTGTAAATTAATTTTTTTAATCGACATATTGCAAAAGATAAGAGCATGTGAAAGTGCTCTGAGTTTCAAAACATCTTGTAAGCAAAGCACCTGTAGAACATAGGAATTGCCATACATGATCAGACTAGTCCAGTAGCCCAACAGTGTCTAACACCAACTGCTTCGGAAAAAGGTGCAAGATGCCCTACAGAGAAAGTCTCTTCCTAACCCAGTTGGTTAGAGGTTGGCTAAAGCATAAAGATTTACTTTCCTTCAGGGTGGATAAAAATAAATGATTTAAAAAAAAAATTAAAAAAAACAAAGGTATTTTTAATTTATATCTGATTTTTTTATAAAATGCTTTTTGAGGAAAAAACCTATCTAAAGATAAAGATACGTTATAGCTCAAAGATATCTCATCATGGAATAGGGATTATAAATTCTAATTCTATAGTATGAAACAATATATTCATGTAATGTTTAAGAAAAGTTTTGTATATAAGTTCCAATAGTTCATGGATTAGGGACCCAATCTTATGGGGTTCAAGGGACTTCTGTATAGATTATTTAGGTTAATCTTTCTATCTACCCAATGGGACTCAGCATCAGAGATGCTTAGTTTTGCAGTTCTCAAACTGTGGATTTGTGTCTCCAGAGATAACATGATTGTTAACAGCAAAAATGTCTTTAAATAAATAATATATAAAGGAGAGAAATAACAGACTTCAACCCTATTGTCCCTCTGCAAATTTGCATACACAGAGTTAATCCCTTACCTCTCTCTAAAAGTGCAAAGTTTCAAAAAGTTCAATGAATAGAAGATTGTTGGGGCAGAATAGATCTGGACAAGGAGAAGAAGTCTGGAGATAAATGTGAGAAGGGAGGGACAGGCAGTAGAAACAAAAGTGAAACTGTTTGAGCAGCATATTCCAGAAGTCTTCAGGTCTCTGAGTGTAGCCTTCACTGATTTGAGATCTACCATACCATTCTCTCACTAGAAGAGACCCAATTTGGGAATAAGAACCATTCAAGAAATATATGTTTGCTGATGATGTTTTAAAGAAAGTGACACCAGTGAACTGGTGGAAGTTACACAAGCACTTGGATTCAGAGACTGTTGAAGTGATAATCTCACTTTTAACAGCAGTAGCTTCTTCTTCTTGTGTAGAAAGAATATTTCTCTTCCTTTGGACTATTTCACTCCAAACTGAGAAATCGTTTGGGACCTGAAAAAGCAGGAAAGCTTATTTTTCTTTTCCAGATTATGAACAAACAGGAAAATGAAGGTGAAGATGATGGGGTTAGCTGCAGAAGTCAATGTTTTAAGTTTCTCGTGTTGACCTGGCTGACAGTCGATTTAATTTTTGTTTTTAAATATTTCGTTTAACTATTTTAGTTAAAAACAAAACAAACCTGATTTTAAAAAACTTGAATGTTTAACTAAATTCAAAAATTCATATGCTTGTTTTGTCAAAATATTACATCTTTGCTGTTGAAGAAAAAATCCAGAATACATAACGTTGTTTTAGTTAAATAAAACAATTTAAATGTCTGTCTGGTGGTGATGTCCTCCTAATACAACATGGCAAGAAAATCCTCCAAATATTAAATGATTAACATGTTGAATTGGAGATATTTTGACGTCACTGGGAGATGAACAATCTGCTTCAATTACCTTTGGTAAATGAAATGACCAAGCAATCATTCATTTTCTGATACAGCTGTAAAACTAATCTGAAAAGTTTTCAAAATAAATCACTTTAAAAATGTATAATGTATTCCTTCTAAAAATGAAACCTACATCTATCTCTGAGTTGTGAAGAATATGTATTATGGTTATAACAACCAACAAGAATGCACTTTTATGTAGAAATCCATGATTAAATCGAGTCTTTTAAAATAATGATTTAAATCAATTTGATTTAAATCAAATCCACCCTGCTTTCCTTACAAAACTTGAGATGTTTCTGCTATCCATACAACTTCTTGGCCCCAACAGGTATGTCTACACTGCAATTAAAAACCCACGGCTGGCCTGTGCCAGATGACTCAGGCTTGCAGAACCCCAGAGCCCGGGCTCCAGCCGAAGCCTCTACACTGCAATTAAACACGTTAACTCGAAATTTTTTCCCCTGCAGAGGTAAGAGCAAAGAACCTTTGATAGCTCATTAAAAATGAAGGATTGTTGCAGGATTGCAAGATGTTTAGAAGTCTCGACAGTATGGTGTTGTATGCTCTGTACTAGATCTTCACAATGATGTAGTCAATGCTATTCACTGCCAAAAAATAAACTGTGTTTTAAACCTAAAATGTTAAGTTAGAGGTCTGGATTTTTTGATACTCATCTTAAACGGAATTATTCTCATGTTTGGGGAGAGGAGAATAAAGTTTCAGAATGAAGACTTATGCAATTTTAGCCTGAAGCCTTGTTTGTTTGTTTGTATGTCCAAATGGAAATATGGAGGTTTACAAGTAAAGTTCAAATCCTAATTTAAATCCCAAGTGAGACTGAGTTTGGTGGTCTCACAAAAACAAAACACGAATTGGTACTATATGGCACCATGGGCCCCCTTGAGAACAGACTAACAAAGATGGAAATAGCAGGGGGCTTACAGCTCAGAAGAAAGGTGCATCAACAGAGCTGCATGGGGAAGCTTTCACAATGCCCGGCTAAAGCTAATGCTTTCTTTCTCCATATCTTCATGAGAATTAAATTCACTCAATTAAAGAGGAAATACCTTAGAGTGAAAGCCTTTGCCATACTATTTATCTAACAACAGGAGACTATTATTTTGTGACATCCTATTCTGACAGTTCCTTGAAGCAAGAAAATCTGGTTTATAGTCCGCCTTTGTATTGTCAGGATTTATACCATCTTGTTAAAAAATGGTATCTCTTGTATGTAGAAAGGTCAGTGAGGAAAATCGATGTGTGCTCTAGCTTTAAAAGTATCATGCAGAGCAAAATGTATGTATCTTGTCTTTAAAGGCAATGTGCCACATAAACACATTTACAAAGTAGTAAGCACTACACAGCTTCACATAAGAATAGTCTATGAATGACAGTTTTCAAAATATGAATTCAACAACAATATATATGGTGGTAAAAGAAGAAAAACAACAACTAATTTTTAAGGTAACCTGCTGCTTTGCAAGTCAGCTCCTAAACGTAATTTGTAGGAATTCAGATCATTTAATATTTAAGAGGTACCTTGTTTGACAAAGCACAAGAATTCTCTATAAGAAGTTGTGTGATTAGTTACCAGTATTCTTTTTGCTTCACTCCTCTCCATCCTTTCACAGGGGAACAGCTTCCAAGCTTTATAAGAGCTTAACTTGCAAATCTTTTAATTGTGGCTAATATCTGTGAATTATATTTCAGGTCCAATTGGTAATTTAAGTGTAATACATATAAGAATTCAAAGCAAAGTTTTCAGACATCTGCACTAAAAGTAATGCACATCCTTATTCTAAGTCCAACTGATAAAATAAGAAAATATTTGAATTTTGGAACATTGGTTTTACAGAAAATGGGCATCTAGAGTTATCAATTGCCTCTAAAAAAAGGGATCTTAGAAGATCTAATCTTTTTATGTAAATATAAATGTGCAAAATAAAAATGTGCAAATTATTACATGTCAGGAAAAAAGGCCACACGGGTTAACACAGAATTACCCATAAGAACAGGGAGAAGGCAGAAACTCAAAGCTCCCACTTGAAGCAGTACTAGTGTATTTAGCTGCACCAGTCCATTACATCATGCAATCTAGAGTTATACAAAAAAGGCAACTGTTTGTAACATACTGAGAAACTAATGAAGCTTAAACAGAGAGTTTCTTACAATATAGTGAAGGTAATTCTAGCAGAATAGGATTTATGTGTACCTTAAAAAGCCATCATCATTTTCTTCATCCTGTGGATAAATCTGACAAACACTATCTGAGGTAATTTTTATCACTATGGGAAGTCCTATTAAAGCCAATAGCTTCAAACAGAATTAACAATAGTAAGCACTATCCTGAGTGGTAAGTGTTTGCAGGATCAGATCCCATGTTCTGTTCATGTTTACTTGTTTTGTACATGTAAGATTAGGATCTGGTCATGCAGATTTAGATATGACACACTTATCTATACGTGTTTAGATACATGTCCAGAAATCTATAGGTTGTTTCTAGTACTTCATTTTCAAAACCAGTGGAAAGCAATCTATAAACACCTTGAATATCTTCAAAAAAGTTAGAAACAAGTAATTTAAAAATAATCTGAAATGACTGCAAGAGTGAAACTCTTAAAACAGATTTTCTAAAATCAGTATCTTAACTAATTTCATCTAAAGGTGGCAACTTTTTTGGTTGGGAATTTAAATATCTTAGTAGAAAGCACAAAAATCAAATAGACATTTTCATAGAAATAAAGAGAATTATTACAATGTATTTTGAAATAGAAAATATTACCTGAAAATGAAGATCACTCCAGTTATTAATTTAAAAAGTTACATATCCAGAACTGTTAATACAACATATGCAATAAGATTTAAGGAAATGATCTGCTAAGACGTTGTAGAAATTCACACATTCTCTTAAATATAGACATGGGAAAATTCACACCAGATATTCCATCTTAACTTTGACCCTCAAGACATAGCTTATATAGCATTATATTGTGCAAGTTCCACGAAGTCATTTAGCTCATTTCAGCACACACATCGCTAATGTATAGCAATTGACTTGCATTGAACTACAAAGAATATATATCAAGTTCTATTACACACACATTCTAATTGCAGAACATTAATTATATTATTCAGACACTCAGCACAGTTTTGAATTTAAAATGGGTATTTAGATAAAACATTATTATGGTTACAGGGCTAGCAGCACTTTTGCCTTTCCTGATCCCTGAGTGCACTCCTACAGGTAACAGGTCCCATGCCTATATGTCTCCCAGGGTGGAGTTCTGCAGTTCTTGTGCTCTTAGGGTGCTGCAGCCCAAGGCCCAAACTGTGTATCAACCCTGCTTTCCCAGTAGGTCCAACTGGGTTTGGCACCTGTGGTTCTTCCCTTCAGGACTCTTTTCAGAGTAAGAGCCGTGTTAGTCTGTATTCGCAAAAAGAAAAGGAGTACTTGTGGCACCTTAGAGACTAACCAATTTATTTGAGCATGAGCTTTCGTGAGCTACAGCTCACTTCATCGGATGCATAGGTACTCCTTTTCTTCAGGACTCTGTGGCCAGTGGTATTCAGTGAACAAAAAAGCTTATGCTCAAATAAATCGGTTATTTTAATCCTTTTCTTTTTGCGAATACAGACTAACATGGCTGCTACTCTGAAACCAGTGAACAAAAAGCCTTCTTAAAATTAAAATATTTGTTTATTTTAACAGTAGGAACAAAGCATTTTAAAATAGCCTACAAACACATCTACCTTACCCAAAGGCTTAATATCCCCTGATGGCCTAAATTCTTCCAACTCCTCAGCAGGTCCTGTGTGTCAGTCTGTTCTCCCCAATGGCTCCCCAATAGCTACTGCCCTCTTTGTGAAAGTCTTCCTTTTAAACCCTGTCTTTTGATCTTCTGGTTCCCAGGCCTTTTCCTATGCAGCACTGTCTCTTAACAGCCCTTGAGAGTTGAGGGAAAGTGGTTTATCTTGAACAATTCTTTTATTTTCTGCTGGTTTTCCATCGAGCTCCCAACTGAACTCAACCAATATATTCACACAGAAAACATCCCAACAACCAGGTCAGCATAAACAATATTTATAAATTACAGAGCAGCTCCATTTCTGTTACACACATCTTCCTACAGTATATCTTCTACTATATAAAATATGTAATACTTAGAATACCAGTAACTGATTCATAGCCTTTATATAACTGATTTCCTACAGCGTGCTATAAGTTGTATAAATTGTTGACCTGTACTATGTGAAAGTAAATAAGGCATCAGTTAAGATTGTTATTGGAATGTTTACTGCGACTTTTCAGACCTACTTTTTTTAAGTGACTGCATAGAATTGAAGAACATTTATTATTATAACTGATATTTCTTGGGTTTTGACAGCTAAATTTTCTCAGTATACATTTTTGTAATGAGACTATTACTTACTGAAACAACTTAAAATCATTACACTACCCTGATCACCTTTTTAGTCACAGGCACTTGGACTGTTACCCAGTGATCCCCATCATGAAGGACAAAAGAGCAGAGGCCACATTGCTTCTCTCAACAGCATTGTCCAAAGTCAGTCCTGGGGTAAGCAAGCTCAATTCCCATAATTAATGCTTAACCGTAACATATATTTTCTCATCAACAGATGTCAAACAATTCCACAACAGAGGGAGTGCGGCTCAGAAAGGTTAAGTAATTAGCGCAAATTCATACAATAGAAGGGCAGTAAAGCTGAGAATAGAACATAGGCTTGCTGACTCTCAATCACATGCCCTAACCCCTGAACTACAGCACCTCCCCTTTGTCACTACTAAGTTCAAGAGGAGTTATGTCCACTTAAATCACGGCGGGATTTGGCCACAGAGCCATTCTAAACAGTAAAAACATGGACATAGTTCATTGCAAAGGCTTTGCTTTCAAAGTGAAATAAGTACACTAGTTAGTAAATTTGAAAACAGTGAGAATCAGAGGTCAGTAGTTAAGACATAAGTATGCCTGTAAACTGCAATCATATAGAATTAACGTTTTATTATTTAAAATCAAAACAAGAAAAAAAAAAACTCACCTAAGGCAGGATACCCAAGATAAAATCTATCTGCTCCCAACCATCCAAGAAATAAAGACAGAGCCACTGCCACTTTGTATGAGTAACCATTTCTGCCAAAAGACATAAGTAAAGATGACTGTGGTTGAAACAAGATATTAAGTTGCGTATATTCTGAATAATTCAATTAAAAATGACAGTCAAATGACATACCTATTAAGTCTCCCTTTATGAAAGAGAAGACTTGTGTTGTTTAGCTTACACAATTTTAGCACAGTCTTCAATAATTCAACATTAAAAAAATTAGTATAATACTATTATCTGTGTAGACATCCACTGTAACTTGGACCTCAGGAGTGTACTTGGGCTCCAGCAGAACTTCCATCCTTTTTCTTTAGGTGGATTATTATTCTCGTTCAAACAAGATATGAGCCAGCTGTTGACACAATCCTAGCTTTCTAGAGTATTTCCTATCCACTTGTGTATTCTGCGGCACAATTTATTGAAAAGCCCCAGAATTGCACCAAATTTGCTTGGCAGGGTCAGTTCCAGGGCCAAGCAGTGAAACAGGAAGTGTCCTGGGCTAGATGAGGTGTCACCTAAGGTAGGCATTCATGGATGAGATTTGGGGAAGAAGTCAGCACTGGCCCATTAGTGAAAGTTGTGAGAGCAGCCTCGGATGAGGAAAGGGTCAGATAAAAAAGGACAAGTATTTAAGATAAGGATACATTTATTTTTAGATTTATCACAAATGAACAAAGAAGTTGGCCACATAAAAATGTACTGACGGCAGAAGATGTCAAAATGATAGCTCTAAAGATGGAGGAAGTCCTTTAGTTATTCACACAGATATGGAACAAGCAGAAGTGAAAGGCTCCCTGGACTCTCTTCTGAGATTGCCAAAAAGAGTGCTACCTAGTATTAACTGTTGTAGTGATGTGGACATGCCCACTGCTAACTTTCAGTCACTTTTGAAGTGAGCTTAGTGCTAATCACTGAACCTAGAGATGCTATTCCTATTAACAATCCCAGAGCCATCCATTGCCACATTAGGGAAGAACCAGCCTTGGAAAGGCGCAACAGAACCAAGTGTCATTAGAACCTTAAAATATGCAATAATTCACTATTCTGACACTTGCATGGCCAAGTGTCAGCAATTAGTGAAAGTGGCCAAAATAAAGTCTTAGATAAATACATGAATAAAATATTCATTTTCACAAAGGCAGTGGCCAAGAAGGGGTGCAAACACCTTTAATAAATATTTACATTTTTGCTTATTATCTGGCTTTACTAGCCCCACTACTGAGATCTTTACTCCTTCCACATCCACATTCCCCTCCTATTTCACATTCAAAAAACTGTTATCCTCTTCCGTTCATAATGAGCAAGTGCTGTTCTTAAAGATCACACCATTTGGTTTGAACTTCTAGTGCCTTTTATGAGTTCTCCAAAGACTTATGCCTATGTTTCCCATTTCCCAAGTAATCCTAGTGACTCTAACTGAACTCACAGTGCCTAAAGTTAAGCATGTGCAGGGCCTACGTACATTATCCAGAGAAGAACATGCTATGCCAGTTTAGAGCGCTCCTGGATTTGGAAACAACCATTTTATGTGGGAGCAATCAAGGAAAGACTCCCAACCTTTCCTGATGGAACACTCTAATGCAGAATTCACAGGCTTTTCTTTGAGATACTGTGGAAGTCACTTGTTCAAAGTATGCCTGTTTACATATACACACGAAGCAGCTGTATCCACTTTATTCAACAGCAACACAGAGAGACAGCTTTATCTAGTGAACTGACATACTTGTTGAGACTCTAGCTCTGAGTTCTAATAATTGATCTGCTACTTAGGGTTTGTCTACAGGGTGCTTTAGTCCGTACCAGAGGGGAGTAAAATTTTAGCCCACTAGCATATCATGCACTAACTGGCCATTGTAGACTCTGCTGGCTTGCACTAAAAATTCCCTAGTGCACATTCATGTAGATTAATAGACACTACTGAACTTTTAGTGCATGCTACCAAGGTCACATGGGCCAGTTAGTGGACAGCATGCTAGTGTGGACTAAATTTACACCCATCTTGTGCAGACTAAAACACCATGTAGACAAGTCCTAAATTGTGGCCTTGAGCAAGGCACAGCCTCTGATTCTCCACCATCCCATATTTAAGGTATAACAATACTTAACTGCTTCAGAGAACTCACTGGTGTTTGCACAATTTGCAAGTGACAAATGTTATATAAATATCAATGTGATAATTCCATCACTTTAAAAAGTTATTTATGAATAAAATTTTCTTGTTTTAAATTCTGTTCACTTCTTTCTAGTAGAGGACCGTCAAGTTATCCAACAAAACTCAAATGAGGCACTGGAAAAGCTCAGAAAAGCGCCTGGAGTGATGGGTAGGTTTACTCTTGTAGTATCAAATATGAGGATACCTGTGCAGAATAATCTTAAGGGATAAAAATGGCCTTATAAAAGACTGGTAATGGTTTTAACTATGCAGATATTCATTATATATACCTGTATATAGATTTGACAACTTGTTACACCTATGAAAGTTGGGAATATTAAGGAATTTACCATTCCTAGAAATGACAGCACACTACATGGCTTTGTGACATTTTTCAAGAGTTAATGCAAAACTCTGCCTGTAGCCATAGCTGAAATTTACAAGAGTTTTAAATAACTCAGCTAAAAGCTGCTTTTCCTGTATAAACAGTCATGGAAATGGTGAAGCCAGGGAAATTCTTTTAAGTAATCATGGGAAGAATATTGCTTTTAGTGCCTAATCGAGAGGTAGCACAGGAGGACTGTTCCAATTTCATTTCTTGAATTTTTAGTTCCCAGTTGTGAACCCAATAAAAATTTAACAAGCACAATACTGGGAATAATATTAATTCAGAAAAATCTAACAAGGTGAAAGCAACCCTAGGAATTGCTTTATATTCCAGTTAGGGAGGAGGGGAGCAAATTCTACTGCATTAGGCTAGATTTCATCTTGTTCTCTGGCTTCCATCACAGATATGGCAGAGAGCAATAATTCTGATAGAAACTGGTGGTCACAATTTACTATGCAAGCAGTTTACTGTGGCTTGCTAAAATAGTATGTTGGCCTTCAGTGTGTTGAGTTTAGACTGTCCAGCAAAATAAGTATAGAGAAATTAGCAGTGGAACCGGACTGAGCTACACTACACTAACATTTTGCAAGAAGGTGGCTCAGATAAGCAAACTGATGAATAATAAGAATATCAAATTAGAGGGAACTGGCTTTCTCACTAGTGATGTAGGCAAAATTCAGCTAGGATTTCTGGAACTACAATTTCCTAAGATTCTACAGCTGGACAACAAAAAAGACCAACTTTATAAAGAAAAGTCCTCCAGGATTCCAGTAAAGAGGAGAAACAAAGAACATTGATAAGTGTACTGTCATATTAGTGTTCAATACTGAAGAGTAAAAATAATAATTGCAGTGCTTAGAAAGAATCCAGACAACACTCTGCACTGTTCAAAATCTGTATGTAGAACTAAGTCAGTTGAGTCATCTTCACAGATCTGACTATCAGGCCCTTTGGAATGAAAAAATGTGTGTTTGTAGACATCAAGTCACTCAAGAGAAGACGTGAGAATTCGTTCCTGTAAAATGGATATTTAGGACTGCTGGAACAAGATTTCAGTCCTCCTAAAGTTCACATTTTCCATGACAAGAAGCATTTCTGTTTCAGGACAATTGTTCAGCACAGTAGCTATTAATAAACCAAAGGCTTAGGCTATGTCTACACTGCAATCAAAGGTGTGATTTGCATCACAGGTAGGCATGCCTGTACTAGCTTTAATATATTTGGGATGCTAAAAATAGCAGTAAAGACATAGTCGCATGTACCTTAGAGTGGGCTGTACAAGCCGGCTTGGTACCCTTGGGTATGTACTTACATTACTAGATTGTGCTGAAGCCCATGCTACTGCATCTTCACTGCTATTTACAGTGTGTTAGATAAATTAAATCTAGCATGGGTATGCCTACCAGATCTGCAAATCACACCTTCGACTGCAGTGTAGATATACCCTCAGAAGCAATATCAAAGAAAAAAAATCTAGCACAGAGGTAGATTTGCTTACATAATTATATATTTTGCCTTTAAGCAATTTAACAGCTTTGTTAGAACATCTCTCAAGTTCCATGCTAGTTAACTTAACATTTGTGATACAATGTTTCTAATAACTAATTCTTCTCACCTAATACACTGAAATGAAGTAGATTCATCTATCTTTCCCTTTTCCCTCCTCCCTGTTGCCAACGCATGCTACACCATTTAAAATTAGTAACATAAAAACTGAGGCAAACATATTACAAAGCACAATAATTCACTTACACATTACGACATGCAATAGGTTTGTAAAATCCAACTTCCTTTCCAGTAAAGTTGTTTTCATTGCCACTGTGATCCTTACAAGTAATATTTGGTGCTGGATGACATGGAACTGAGGACACAATATAGATTATTTAAATTGAGCTATAACAGGCCATGCACCACGGTGCACACTGAGATTCCAAAAATGCAAAGTGAAAGAAATAAGTTCTACCTGTGCACTGAAGTGCACATAGGCACCGACTCCACGGGTTCTCTGGGGCTGGACCACCGACGGGGAAAAAATGGTGGCAGTCCCCCTACCAGAACCTCCCCCTCCCCCCAGCGCCTCCTGCCCATCAGCGGGCCCTGCAGATCAGCACCTCCCTCTCCCTCCCAGCGCCTATTGCCTGCCTCGGATCAGCTGTTTCTCAGCGTCAGAGGCACTGGGGGGGAGGGAGCGAGGGTGCAGCATGCTCGGGGAAGGGGGTGGAACTGGGTGGGGAAGGGGTGGAGCGGGGGTGGGAAGAAGCAGGGTGGGGCCTTGGGAGAAGGGGTGGAGTGGGGCGGATCACTCCCCCGGCAGATTACAAATTCGGCACCTATGGAAGTGCAGATTCCCAATATAATACACTGCTGGGTGTGACTGATGACTGGGTCTTTCAAAGAGATACTATAACCTGTCTTGCATTAATTCCCCCCCCCCCCCCGGATAAATGTTAAGCAAACACACAAATCAGATGACTCACCTAAATGTTACAATTTCTAGATCCTTAAAGTTTTCCTTTTACTGTGGGAATAGCAGAAACCAGCACAGCCAACTTAAGTGTTATTTCTCTCTATGGTAAAGCATTCTAATTGCTTAAGTGCATTTTATTTGGCCAGTTTCTCCTCATCAAACTAGAGAGAAATACTGTTTCTCTTATTTTAAGTAATAACTGCTAAGGTTAAGAATTAGAAAAGTGATGTTTCCTAAAGTTTGCAGAACCCCACCTGAGTTCACAACTTGCCACTTTCTAATGCTGAAATCAGGCGTTAAGCAGGTCAACATTTCATGTCTTTTTCCTTTATTTTAATTCTGACTTTCAGTACTCGTAACTTATGTCAGCCTGACAAACAATAGCCCCCAGGGGCAAGAAGATAGTGTAGTCTTTTTTCTGAGATTGCCACTAGAAATTGGACTGGGACTAAAAATTCAGTTATTAGGCAAGTCTGATAGGTGGAATCTGAGGCAAAGGTGGACTTTTGAATGCTATGTTATACCCGTTCTGGTTCTGTATGAACGTGTAATGGGCATCACTCTGTGGGAAACTCAGGTTCTATTCCTACTCTGCCACAAATATCCTGTGGCCAAGTCACTTACGTCTCTCAATGCCTCAGTTTCTTATCTGTAAAATGGAGATAACAGTACTACTCTATCTCACATGGGTGTTATGAAGATAAATACATTAAAGATTGGGAGGCACTCAGATACTATAGTGATGGGGGCCATATAAGTACCATAGGTAGGTAGATAGATACAAAGTTGTATTTTTGTTTAAGAAACAAAGAGGTTGAAGGTGGTTTTCTGATCTACTTAAAGAACAGGGCAGTAATTTATTCAAATGGTAAAAGCCCCAGATTATCATCCAAAATGTTGACATCACTAAGGCTCCAATCCTGCAGCTCAGTGGGATTACTCAAAAACTTGAAGTCAAACATCTGTGTTCACAGGATTGGTGGGGCCTAAAATGGTATTTCAGAATAGGGTCTGGAGCTTCTGGCAACCCCAATGTGATTAGATTATATGGCCACATATGGATTTAACTTTTTATTGAGATGCTACTCTGGAGGAAGAGATAACAGATGTTGCAGGGTCCATTTAGAAGAAAAAGGGAGCACATAAATAGTCTGGGATTTTCTTAGAGCTGAGCAAATAATTCATAAAGAACAATTTACTTGATGAATTAATTTAGCCTCTTTCTGTTAACCGAATGTCTGAGCTTACAACAACTTCCTGGAGTTTCTCTGTTGTTCAAATTTACTCTGAATTAGCTGTAAATTATTCAATAGCTTGTTAGTTGTGACTGGTCTCAAGCCATATAGTATTGTTTCTGTTCACTCTTATAATCAGGAGCAGGGCTTGAAGGAGCACATGGAGCATGGAAGCTTTCAGAGCAGAGAAGATAATCAGGTTTGCAGAATTTTGTATGCCAGGGCGCTGATCAAGAATTGTCCCTCTGCTGTAAAGAGAAATCCCCCTTCCTCCAATATTTAATACTATATCTGTGAATGCTCCATAGTGTAAGCTTGAAATTAGCTTTCTGTGGCCATCTGAGATAGTAAAATTATCACTCAAATATTTGTGGAAAGTGAATGCCAGAGGGGTACAAACACAGACAAAGTGTATTCAGTTTTAAATTTGAGTGCTCCCAGAACATTTTTTGCATTATTTGCCCAGGTCTATAACTGTCAGAGTCCACTGTGTCACTCAGTCTGAGAACATCTGACAAGATGAACACTATTCTAAGTGAAATGAGTGATTAATTTAAATATTTTTACCAGTGATACTCAGGTGAGTACCAGGTAATTTAACTCCAATACACACAGATATGTCACCTCCAGAAAAAGATAGCTTAATAACATCAAAAGTCTCCTGTAGTCGAGTGCTCCCTTAAGGAGTCATAACTGAAGAACATGAAGGTCTTCAACGTGGTTCTATTTTGAAGTTTGTTCTTTTAGTAAATATATACTAGATCTAAGGGGAGGGGTCATTTGTTTTAATTTTTATGAAAGGTAGAAACCTAGAGAATATACATCCCAAGTCAAAGAGATCTACAGAAACCAACCAACTCCCACACCCCAAAAAAACAAACCAACCCAAACACTAAACAAACTACTGGACTTGGCTCTGCTGATTTCTGCCAGTGTTTGGCAGTGATTTCTGCCAAAATAAACCCATACAGGTTCTCTATACTTTCAATGGAACTGCATACAAAATGAATTCAATAACAGTATTGTATTATATTTCAAAATAACCAAGTTGCAGGTCTACAAGGGCACAAGTTGAAGATGTTCCTTGATAAATTCCTTTGATCAGAATGTATATTAGACTTCTGAAAGCCTTACCGTATGCTGTGTGATTTGTACAATTCAGTGGTTCTTGTGTGATATTGTCTATTCTGGGATCTTCACAAATATATGTTCAAATAATTAAGGAAAACCATTTTTTGTACTAAACTCTAACTGTTCTGTAACTCAATGTACTACACCCTCTTCACTCACCTAAGATTTGAGAGCTCTCAGTTCAGTCAGTTTTCCTTCCCCTAGTCTCATACAGCTCTGAAAATAAACAAACAATCTTAACTATAGCAGAGCTGTTACTTTGCTATAATACAGAAACACAGGGCCCTAGGCTGCACAATTGAGTGCTGTTACCCATAACACCTGAGGGAAATATAAGTTGTTAACTCTTATAAGAGGAATAAAATAAACCTTCTCTATTAAAAAAGGGAAGCACCTCAAAACCAGCTTTTATTTCCTTATTTTTTAGGATGAGTGTCAATGCACACCAGTAGTCTACCAACTCATGACTGATTTGCTGTCAAGTATTTGGTTCCATCTACCAACACCACCCAACAGAATGTAAAGTGATCGTTTGAAAAACAAACTGTTACACATCCTCACCAGACTAATCCTGAACAGGAACTGAATTGTAAAACTTCCTACTTATGTTACCAAAGACTGAACTCCAAGGGCCAAATAAAGCAGGATAGCAAGTCAACTTTTCCTCGCTTACCTTCCACTTTTGATCTTCATTAATGTCAGCTATTGTCAAAAACTATCAACAATTACCTTACTAGAGGGAGAGGGTGGGAGCTAGATGTGACCCCCCCCTTTAAACAGTCAATAGCTTCCCAACAGGAATAAATTGGTTAGTCTCTAAGGTGCCACAAGTACTCCTTTTCTTCTTCCAACAGGAATATGTCACCCCCATATTTCTACCGACTGCAGCCTGCAGATTCAAAACTACAGGCTGATCCCTCTCCTCCCAGATTTTGGAAATGAATTATGTCCTGCAAAACCATCACCCCGGGTGATTTTAACACTAACAAAACAGAAGGGAGACCCCCCCCCAAAAGCCCAGGAAAGAATCCCTCCCTTCCCCATTAACCAGCTCAGTCACTCTCCTGAGCTACTGTCACCATCGAGAGCCTCTGAAATTTCCCTACTAATGGGGGCGGGGAGAAGAGACACGCAAACCATCCCAAGCAAAGATCTTGCACCCCTTGCTCTGTCCCCACACCCAGTATGGGGGCTGATCTCAGCTGCGGTTGCCGCAGAGTGGCCTGAAGAGCCGGGGGGGGCATCCCATGGGATGGGGGGGACTAACAAGCCTCGTCACACTCCCTTTGACAGGAGCACCAGGGGCTGGCCCTGGGACACAGGCGGGGGCAGCCACAGAGAGAGAGAGAAAGAGAGAGAGACACACACACACCAGGCGTCACCATGGTAACCGAGCCCCCCACCGCACCCCCAGCCAGACTCAGGATATTGCCCCAGCCTCAGCTCGTCGCACTTGAGCGGAGGCTCCCCGCCGGCAACGCCCTCCGCGGCGACACACGCCAGCCACAGGATGCCCAGCAACCGGGCTGCCGCTGCTGCTTGACGCCTCCTCAACAGCAGGAGCCGTCGCCTCGGCCGGGCGGCCACCATCATGGAAACCAAGCCCGGCCGCCGCGTCCTCAGCCCTAGGCTGTCTCGCAGGGGAAGGACGGCTCAGTGTGCAGCGGAGTACTTTGCCCACATCAAAGATGGCTGCCGTAGAGTGTCAATGGCGCTGAAGGCAAGCGGTGCCCGTTGCCGAGCCGCCTCTGTTTCCTCTACCGGTGGAAGTCAGGCTGCCCCTAGTCAAGATGGCCACCGCGTTCCCATTGTATTTAAAGCATAGGAAGCTCGGGAGCCCTCACTCAGGGCGTCCCCTCCTCTCTATGGTTAGGAAGCTCGGCTGCCGTTCCCCCAAGCGCCTTGCATTGTGGGAACATGGAGGGATGGGCAGGCGGGGGAGCAGAAGCGCTTAGAAGGCTGGAGGACGAATAACAAGGGAGAGGAGAGGCTGGAGAGGGAGAAAGGGCTGGGGACAAGGTAGGGAGAATGAGAAGGAAGGGGGCTGGGGACAGGAGGGAGATTAACTCCATCCTCCTTCCCCCAGGGATGAGCTCTCAGGCTGGCCAAGGAGGCAAGGTGCTGTGTTCTAGATGCAGTCTCCCTGCAGGTGGGTTTGAATCCCCTGCTGACAACAGGCCAGGGACTAGCAGAGATAAAATGAAGTTCCCCTCAGTTACAAACAGAGAGTTTTTCTCTCCGTCCTTTTAATGGGCATTTCAGACACAAATATGTGGGTGGGGGAAAATCACATACATAGGGAAGAAGAAAAGGTGTACTAGTGGGACCTTAGAGACTAACAAATTTATTTGAGCATAAGCTTTTGTGAGCTACAGCTCATTTCATCGGATGCATTCAGGGAAGAGGCAGCCAGTCCCTGAAAGTTAAGAAAACCAACCAACCAGAGGGCAGGCCAAAAAATAAAAAACAACCCCCCCCCCCCACCACCACCACCAATGTGATTTGTTATTGTTTTAGAGGTTTGTTTTTAGAATGTCATTTTTTAAAGAAGTCCCTAATTTTTGGCAGGATTGTGGATGGAGAGGAGCAAAAAGAGTATCTGCCTCATATTTTCCTCCAACCCAAACATTGCTCATTGGTGGGAGAGAGGTTTCTGGACACTGGGGGTTAATTTTAAGCAAAATCTCCAAGACTATAACAGGGTTCAAAAAAGAACTAAATAAATTTATGGAGGATAGGTCCATCAATGGCTATTAGCCAGGATGGGCAGGGATCGTGTCCCTAGCCTCTTTTTGCCGGAATCTGGGAATGGGTGACCGGGGATGGATCACTTGATGATTACCTGTTCTGTTCATTCCCTGGCATTGGCCACTGTCAGAAGACAGGATACTGAGTTAGGTGGACCTTTAGTTTGACCCAGTATAGCTGTTCTTCTTTTAGCCGAAGAAATAAAATGCAGCTAGACATTTTAGTGCTATGACAGGTCAGGCAGGTTATAATTGGTTCTAGCTGACCCCCACAAGGTACATTCTTTTCCTGCAGCTAAGTATTATACAAAAAGCTACAAAATTGTGTTCTACTTTTCAGAATGTTAAAGAAAAAACTAATGCTTCCTATTGATCACTATAAATGACAAACACATTAACATCAGTAAATACCTAGGCCCTGTCTAGACTAGTTTTCCCACCATACAATTTTTTTCAAAATAATTTAAAATCAACATCCGGAAATACAGATTAAGCAAATGACCCAGATTACAAAATGTGGTTTTCAGTGCAGTTATGTCCAATCCACAATGGCCAAAATGACATGTGCTTAACCAAACTCATTTAAACCTGTGTTAAAAAGGGTTTCTTAATATTAGAATAACTGTAGTCTAGACATGACATCAGGCTCCCCGAAACCACAAATTCCAAATCCCAACAGGGTCATCTCTAGCCATCATTTTTCTATTCAAGGATCACAGAGTACTTCACAAATTTTAATAAATACAGAACTTATCTACACACTGGGGATTCTTGTACCAATGTACCTGCACCTGTCCAAATCCCTAGGGTCGATATACTGCACTACCATAAAAGAATCTTGCTGTTTCAAACTATGTCATATTGGGTGCGGCATCAGTTTTCAGCTGCTGAATTGGATAAAGGTGCTATAGAAATGCAAAGAATTATTTCAAAGTACTTGTTCAAATACAAACATCATATTACCTACCTTGTCCTCTTTTTTAGTTTATTTCACATACATCTAGAGTTTATCTCTTGTAGTGTTGAAGAAAACAAGTCAAGCCTTCAATTATCAGTCAGCACCTCTGAAAATAGTTTGGTTTTATAATAGTGGGTCACATTTTTACCCTTCGAGATTATTTACCATCCAAGATGAATGGTAATACTTGCTGGTATCTACCTGTCTTCGCCTCAGCTAACTAGAGAATTTTCATGAATGTAAAAGAACTAGGGATCAATTTTTGAACCATAAATAATGTAAAGAGTCATTTTTGGATTTATTTTATTTTGGAACACAGTATGACTGGGAGTCTTAGGCACTAAGATAATACAAACAATAATAATAATATAGTATGTTTGTGTGTCACTGCTCTCTCTGGGTAGAATCAGAATGGCTCAACTGTGTGTCCAAGTCCCTATACTGCTGATGGCTAATGGCCATTCCTCTTTAGTTGGAGTGGTAGGAGCTAGTGCCTTTAAAGCAGGACAAGGCGAGTTCTAACAATGTTGCTGTTGTGAAGTTCCAAGCAACTGCAGCTTTCAGGTACGACAGCCATGAAATCCTAGCTAGCCACTGATTTGTTGCGCTATGAAGATCTGATCGACCCTTTCCAACAGCCTCTTCTAAAACTACATTTTCTTTTCATCCAGATTTTTATGCGCTATGTTTATAGGTATCTCAGAAAGTTCTTTGTCAAACACATCACCAGCCTAAAGTCTTTTGAATTTTTTGCTTGGCTTTGTGTCCTCTTTCTATTTCCTTTTTATTACAGTCAGTGAACCCCTGAATTCCAAATGGCAACTTCGAGTGACTGTCCATGGACAGACTGAAATACCATGATTTCAAGGACAATACAAAGCTTCCATCCAAGGCCCCAATCCTGCATGCACTCAGGGTATTGCCAACTCCAAACATCCAGAAATCACGTGATTGGCTTAAAACTCATGAGATTTTTTTTTTTAAAAAAAATCTTTGGATTCATTTTATTAAGGGTGCATTTGGGTCATATTTTAAAGTTTTCCTCCACAGCCATGAGGGCTAGAAATTTACTTATTTTTGTCTTTTTTATTTTTAAATGAAAGCTGAGATTCTTCTCTAACCACCTGAATCCAGGAGTTGGGGCTTTAAGAAAACCAACAAATATTAGAAGAGTTGACTTTTGTACTTTTGCTATGGCGAGCAGTGGCATTGAAACCAATGGGGCTAGGCATGGTAGTAAAGCTAAGCCTGCGTGTAAGTGTTAGCAGGATCAGGGGCCAATATGGTACTCGGGCAATGGGAGACCCTAGTTAAAGGCCACTCCCCGCAGGGCCAGCCCTGGTATGAGTTCAAGAACATGTTTACATGGTGGAAATGAAAGGACCCATTTCTTTCACTCCCCCCAGCTTCTCCATCCCCCATCATCCCCTTTGCTTGGGAATAATTTGTGCTTTTCTTGTCTTTCTTTCCCTCTTGCCTCCCTCCACTCCTTTCTCCCGCCCCCCCCCCGCCCTTCCCTATTTCTCTCCCTGCCTCCCTCCCCCCGAGTCCCCCTGCCCTGCGCCGAGCCCCGCACGGAGCTCGCCCGCGGCCCGCAGCGCTGTGGGTATGTGCGTACGCGGCGCTCGCCCGGCTGATTTCCTGTGTTGCAGGTGACGGTGAGGTGCGGTCAAAATCCAGCCGCTCGTTTCCGCCCAGGTGAGAGTACAGAGCAGACGACGACCCGGGAGCAGCCAGGCCGTTTGCAACCCGCCTCTGCGGACCAGGTATTACACTCGGGGGCAGCTTGGCTTCCCCACAGGCTGGGACTCCCGCCCCCCTTGTCCGTTTCCTGCCTCCTCGCTGGTTAATGCTCCCGAGGGTAGGAGGGGGAATGAGCAGCGGCTGGGACTGGGCAGGTCAGGAACTTCCTGAAAGTTTGAGTTTCACTAATCCTCACCGGACAGCACCCCAAACCTAGTGAACCTCGGGCAGGACTGGCTTTGGCTCTGCAAAGCCCCGATGAGCCAGGGGCTGAGCTGTCGGTCTAGGCACTTTTTATAGAGCCACAATCAATATAGTTTTAAACTACTCCCAGTCAGGGACAGTTCAGATTCAAGGCCCGTTTCAACAGCAGCCCCACTGGTTCCAAAGGGGTTTGGCCAGCTGGTTCTGGTTTTAACTCCATACTCTGTCCAAGACCGGCTTGATTTGGAAATGGGGAGCTAATCACTTTCTGTCACTCTGGAAATGATCAGAGGTCTCTGTCATAGGCTTAGTTTGATGGGGGCAGAAATGACATGTGGGTGGCACATGCGGTCATGTGCCACCCCCAGATTTCTGCCTTCCATTTATCGCAGGGGTTTTCAAACTGGGGATGGGGCATGGAGGAACATTTGGCGGGGTGTGGTGGTGCCAGGCAGCTCAGGCCAGCCCCGTGTGGCAGGGTTTGGAGATAGGGTTGCCAACTTTATAATATTTAAAAAACAGACTTTGGGTGTTCAGTCAGTAGATTTGATTGGACAGGTTTCCTTTTCGACCACCTTTTTGGTCGAAAATCAGACACCTGGCCACCCTCTCCAAGTCCTGCCATGTGGGGCTGTTCTGGGCTGCCTGAAGTCACCGCATACCCCCCTGAGTGTTCCTCCACACATCCCCTCCCTGAGTTTGAAAACCTCTGTGCTAAATGGAAGGCAAAGATATGGGTGGCACGTGTTCCTTTGTCCCCTCCCAAGTGTCAGCTCTCGTTTGGGGGGGCAATACTTCCCCATCTCCCCCCCCCCCCCCAGTCTCTGCTCCTGCTGCATGTGAGTAGATGTAGCTGCCAGGATGTAACGGGCTCTTTATTTTTACATCGGAGGAAAATTAGTTTGATTATTGTGGGGGGATTGGGAGGAGAAAGTAAAACCTTTATCTGCATCTCTCCAGTTTTCCATGTATTCTCTTTCACATTTTTCATAGGTGCTGAGTGCCACTAGCTCTCATGGATTCGGCTGGAGTTTTTGGTGCTCAGCACTT